CCTCTTTCCAACGGTACCTTCAAATCGCGGCGCCAAAGAAATCGGAATTGTGCCTTTACTCATAACAGCTTTGTGTCTAAAATAGATAAATTTGAGCGAAAACTTGGCCTAGCCCCTACATAACTAATGTCAGGATTTTCGAACAACCGACTAATTCATTGGTTTTACACCTTAAAGTATTTAGCCGGGTTTGATTCTTGCAATTGGCAAGAGTATAAAATATTCGGTTGCCTCCGAACTTAGCCTTTCCTTATTTCTTTAATATAAAGTTTTGCCAGCACCTGAAAGAATTCCTGAAGGTTGCAAGCGAATAAAATGGTCGGATATATCCGGACTTCAGTTGCCTTACTTATTGAATTATGTTTTAATGAAACAGCTGAATGTAATAAAGCTTCTTATGCAAATGGATATCATCTGTATAAAAGTATATACTAAATATCGTCACCTAAAATTCAAAATAACGTATCATCAAAAAAATCGAAATTGCGTATCTCATTGTTTACGATTCATATCTCCAACATTTTCAGGTTTTGCGCTCATATTTACCAGTTTTAACACATATTAAATTTTTTTTTTCACTATTATTCCATTTCATTTCATGTTTTATTCACGTCACTGTAAATTTTCAAATATGTTGTTACGTTATTTTGCATTTTAGGTATCGATATATAATTAATTATCATAGCTTTTATTTGTGTATTTACCTTATTTTTAGGTTATCCATAAATTTATCCATTGTTAATTGGTCAAGGAGCACGAAATCCCTAACTCCAACTTCTCGATGTTGTAATGCCATTTTACCAATTTACCAAACAAAAATATTATTATCAAACGCGCAGGAAGGATTTTCAAACTCGAATAAATTATCTTATTTAATAAGTAAATTTTAACTGAAAAAATAAACAAACTATTAAATCATCGAAATTACATATCTTATGTTTTTAAAACGGATACTGCAATTAAATAAGATCTAATAGCTATCCCAACAAAAAAGCAGAAATAAACTAAATATATAATTTCAATTTCTCTAAAATAATATTAAAAAAAAAAATTATCTTATAGTGCTATCTTAATTCAATTATTAAACAGTTTTTATACATATGTCCATATATGTACTCTCAAAGACAAATGTGACTGGAAGGCAAACCGAAATGTTCGTGTGAAGTTTGATCTTCATGTGTCAATAGTGTGCGTTTAGTAGCTGTTTGTTTACACATTAAAACACTAATAGGGCAAATATGTTCGAAATTTTGTGAAATGGCTCCGCGTCTGCAAAGGCTCCTCAATATTATTTTCATATTCCACAAAGTAGTTCTACACGAAAGAATTACGGACTACCCGGTGAATTTGCGAAAACCCACTCATTAATATTTATTCAAATTACAAGGCGCTAAGTTTACTCTGATAACCACTTTTCATCATTAGCACAAACACCTTTTTTTATTCTTCAGCTAAAATGTAAAATATTTTTGGATGAGGAACTGTTTTTACATATGTAAGTATATAAATATCAGGAATTAACTTGTCAATGCTATTATTTTTCTTATATTTAGACACACATTCGAACACATTTGATTTCCATTAATTTTTATATTATGAATGAACTATTTGGTATTGGTAACTTCTTTCACTTTTTATTAATCAATTGATTTAATAACTGAATCACTAGCAATGCTTTAAATAAATTATTTAACCGAAATGTGTTTTTTAAAACATAGGTACATACTTATACACATATGAATAAAATGTGTCAGGTATTATATGGCGCATATGCGTACGGACTTGGCTTTGAAACATCTGAAGTGCAATTTCGATTCATGAGTATTTTGACGCATAAACATATATGTGTATATGTAAACACTTTCAACGTTTGAGGTAAAGTGTACATATGTAGGTATATATTTTTAAATAATCAGTTTCCTTCACCCAATTTTGGAAATAACCAGTAATGAATAGGAACATGTAGTAAATAAGACAAACACAAATTACAAGAAGCTAAGAAAAAAACTCGAACCGAACACAAAATAAAATTTAATATATTTTGTTTTGAACGAATTGTTTCACAAAGTTAAACAACACCACACAATCGGAAAACTAATATACAACTGGTACAACTGAAAAATAACAAATGCATATCTATGACAAATGAGTCAACTGGTTCAATACGTGTTAAATGAGTTTTGTCGAAACTGATTCTCAAATATGCCTCTCAAAAGAAAGCCGCTGCATTACTTTAAATTAACGCCGTTGCTTATTCCGTCAAGGTTTTATCCTACCTTTTAATAACTTTTTATTAGCATTTTATATTTCCACGAATAAATTTATGTGATATGCCGAACATTGATTACATAAATGGACAAAAAATTACTCACAAATAGTTAATAATTTTTGTATTCAATAAGACTTTGTATTATATATAACGGTGAAAATATATTTTCGATTTTCCTCTTCGCATTATTTTGTATCATGTACCGAATAAAGAACGTCATGTATCTGACATAAGATGGAAATATAATTCATTAAACAATTACCCCTTTTATATATAAAAAAAAATGTTTCAATAGCACTTTTATTAAGAAACCTGATGTGAATTGAGTATTACGTGTTATTTAGTTCGTTTTAGGAATTGCAGATATGCATATGTTTGTCAAAATCTATTTATACACGTTAAAAACTTCGTTATCGTGAGTGCACGCAATGCACTTCGTTAAAATCGAATTGGGTCCGAAACTCACTTCCTTGGTTAATCTATAATTGTTTAATATTGATTGGAGCAACAAATAATATAAGCTTATAATAATAACAACTCTTTCAAGGATTGCAAGTACTACTGATTTATATGCGTGTTAATAACTGTAAATACTTAATTGAGAATATCATTTAAAATTTAAAATATAAAGAATATTTTATTTATTTGTACTATATATTTTAGGTGTGCTTACATAATCATTTTCAATATAATAATGGCATTACCCGATGGACTTGCAAGTAGCATGAAGAAATTTCAAGTAATACATTTAAATTAACGGGTGGCACATTAATAATTATACAATTACTTATAGGCACATAATGATGTACCGGTCTTTTTAAAAGGAGGTCCAGCAGACAAGGTATTATTTGGTTTGACTGTAGGGCTATGCGGCTTAGGTATTATTGGTATGTTGCAAATGGTGTATACACTGGGATTTAAAAAGAAATCGGCTTAAAATAATTACGATACTTTCAATTAAATGAAAGATGTGAAAAATATTACAATAATAAATATGAAGAACTGACATCAAATCATTAAACAAAGATTTTTTTTCGAGGTTAGGTAACTAATTATATATTATATTTCTCTTCGCCTAACGTAGGATCGTGAGCGGAAAGTGATTTTTTCAATAACCTATGTACATATATATCTGAGTATATATTTGTTATTGACTGGGGATCAAAAATAACATGAAACGTGGGGCACAAGCCCCACAAAGCAAAGACAAATCGTTGTCTTCCTGGTGGCGCAAAATGCTGAGAAACTATAATTATTGTATATTATCAGCTTTCTAATATATAGAAGAAACATATTGTGTTTTATGTACATAAATATATATAAATGTTTAAAGGAATAATGATGATGTAACAAATCAGAACTATCGATAGCTTATTTTGATGTGCGATTAGATATATTATCGATAGTTAGAGACGGTGAATAATATATCTTATCTGCTGACATCGCTAATAAATCACAAAACTATTTTTCTATTTCAGAAATTAAAAGTGCTTTAAATAATTTGGTAATATTTTTTGGTTATTCCACGTTAATAAATCTGTTTGGATATACATTATATTTTGAGCGAGTGTAGAGATCATGGAGACAAATGCTGAAGTGGTAGAAAGACAAAAGCTCGTAACAAACGACAATGATGGAGATGAAGATATTAACAACCATACCAATGTGCCAAAATCAGGTCCTAAACCAGAAAGTATCCTTCCTACTCCGGCAGTTCCCAAAATGATTGTAGGACGAATAATTAAATTGAAAATAAAGTTAAACGTTAAATTTTCTGCAGATAAAGAATGTCTCCAGTGGGGATACAACTCGAAGTAGAAATTCAGCTAGTTGTTCCATAGAACGAACGTCTGAAAAAGGTCAACTAACCTCAGCTAAGGTAACATATATAAATGAGCGACGTACACGTCCAAATCTGCAAATTAGTGCAAGCCTGAGTGGATGCAACAATGATGAACGACTTGATTTCAAATCACGACAACGTAAATTGCTTAAAGGTAATTTAGCAGATTTTAACTTATTAATACGTTTTTTTGACACTTTTAAAGCGCCGCATGTTGGTGTCTATCATTGTTCTGAAGGATCGAATTCAATAAATTTTCATAATTGCAGATTATTGACTATGTATTACACCGTTTATATATTTCATCGAAAACAATTCTTTTTAAAAGAGAACATGCTATTTATTCTCTCTAGAAGGCTTGTAACTGGTTAAGAGCTACACTGTTGCTAGGTTAATAGATTATATTAAAAAATATAGGCCCAAGTCACCGTTGATATTTTTTATTTAAACACATATACATATATTCATACATACATTTGTGTCACAAGACGTATTAGTGTGTACCACATTCGAATTCCTGCCAAGAACACGTCCTTCAATCTTTCATGGTACTTTTTGTAAGAAAGTTCAATAAACAATTTCGTTGTGCATGGAATATCATATTGTATGATGTTTTTCTATATTTCGTCGAATGTTCTGGGCTTTCATTACATATATATATATGTACATGTTTCTTTCGATAGCTAATTTAGGCAATAGGAAATACTAATTAGTATATTTTCTATTTAAAAATCTTTACAAGTGATGTATTTTCTTAGCTATTAAATATTTATTTTAGTAATCCATTTCCACCTTTTAATTCTGCCAAACACACTTTTCTGGACGAACGATTATCAATTAATCGTTTATTTTAAAAAGGTATTTATAATGAATTTCTTGTTTTCATTTTGACAATTCTGGCAGTTTTACATTCTCTTTATATTCAGTTATCACTCAAAATTACCATTTTGACGATATTTGAAAAATATCAACACTATTACATAGAATTCACTAAGAATGAATTTGCATTCAAAACAATGCATTACTTTTTTATAGGCACAATTTGCAATGGTATCATTTTAAAATTATTTTAACTTTTATTTTATTTATCATCTAGTAATAAGTATTATTTAGTTATAAATAAATATATGCTTAATAATTTCTGTTATTTTTCATGATTTTATTTTATTTCTATTTATTTATTTTTTTGTTTTTCATAATCTATTCGTAAATCCAAATATTGAATCTTTCGACAAATGGTAATTGCCTAACAATATTATATAAAAGAAAAAGAGGCAGATATATGCAATACTGATGATAGTGCCAGCAAAATTCCAGAAAATTCCAGCGAAGTATATTGCGATAGGATAGATTTTGGTATGAAACATGACATTTCTCAAAAACAAAACCATGATAGTTCAGATAATAAAGTCAGATTGCACATATTTCGTGAAAAAGTGGGTAGCATCGATCCTTCTACTTCGTTAAACACCACCAATGCGGGCGGTAGCTCAAACGTAAATGAATTCGATCACCGTCCTATTAAACATCACTCATTTGTCTCAGAAGTTCCGGACGTAAAGCATATGGAACGAGCTCTTTTAGGTCTTCTCGATGATTTTCATTCTGGAAAGCTAAAGGCTTTTGGTAAGTAATCCACCGAATTCAAAAAAGCTAAAAATCAAGTTCTATTTGGTTTAGGTTCTGGTTGCACGATGGAACAGATGACTAAAATACGAGAACAACAGGAAAGTTTAGCTAAATTGCACTTTGAGTTAGCCGCTGCTGAAGAAGATTCATTAGAGAGTGTTCATGATTTGAATGCTGCTAAAGCACAAGAAAATATGTTACAATTAGTCCAACGTCTTGAACAGTTGTCGGTTTCAATTGAGCAGTTACAGTCAAGCCACTTAGGATTATGAAACACACATTGAATTTAAATGTATAGATATAACCAAAATTTTTAGATTTTGTTAAATAACTAGAATAAAGTACAGTGAACTTTCCTTAACGGTGTGTGTTCCTTAACTGACAAAACTAAATCTTCAAATCTATTATTGACTAACTCCAAGGTTAAGATCAACACTAACATCATAAACTTGATTGATTTCAGGTGTTACAAGAAACTATAAAGTAAACAAAACTATTGTACACTATGCAACATTTTGCGGGGTACACAAATAAAAGATAATAAACTTACTTTTGAGCCTTTCGAGAATAATAAAGCAAACAACACGTTATGTGCAGATTGTCGAACAGAAGTTATTATGAAAAATTAAGACAACCGGATCATTTATATTTTTTATTAATATATTTTTATCATGTATATATATTTAGTTATATATTTTCAATATTTTATATATGTATGTAGAGTCTAAATATTTTTATTCTGCATTATTTATGCTATAATGGTAATGATAATAAACAAACAATTTTTTATATACTTTAACGTAATTTTCGTCTTCCCCCTTCTTTCATTCCGACTTTTGTGTATCAGTTAATTAAGTGTAAAGATTAATATTTGTTATAGTACACCTCATACCATTACTAAATAAAGCACATTGTTTTATTTTTTTCACTCATATTTATCAATACCATATTCAATAGCTCTTATAGAAGGTGAAATTAATATGAAAAAGTGAATATTCCATAAGCAAACAATAAATGTGTATTTTTTTAGTTTTACTAAATTTCAAGTTAAAAAATACAAACACCAATATTTGTTTAAGTATACACATAGGCGTAAATAAATTATTACAATATACGTAATAAGTCACATGTATATATTTAATGAAATTTTCTCGTCTATATAAATAAAAAATTAAGAAAATTGTTAATTTAATTTGGTGACCACCGTGCGTCTACTAATCTGTTTTTATATAATTACTTTTTACGATATTAATACATACAWATGTACATATATCATTTGTTTCTAAATCTGTAATAGATCTCTTTAGAACGTTATAATAAGTATCTTGTCAATAATTACGTATAAATCGTCGATAATTACGAAATACTTTACCGGTATTTATATGTCACCTGTTTGTACAATGACAAAAATAAATGATTTTTTAATGCGTAAAGCAGGAAATAGTTTCTGCTAAATTTTTTTAACTATCTTTATATACGTTTATAGTAAACGAATATTTATATTAGTTCGCATTACGTGGTACTAGTACGTAAATAAGAAATTGTGTTGTCATTGATTTAAAAGAGCCATGGAGCGAAGAATAAAAAATTATAATTTATACGTAATGAGGCAATCATTACCCCAATTCTCAACCTGGACTTTTAAATGCACAAAATAATGACGCCTTCAAGGACTTTTTTTGAAAGTACATAATGTATTACAAAATTAAAGTTGTATGGTCAATATATCCGTTAACATTTTCCTTTTCTAAACTGATTGATAATTTAGACCGTCTCCAATGTTTCGCCAACCGAAATCAGCGTTTTCTATTGGTAAATGTATGACCAGTAGAGTGGTTAGTCGTCAACTAAAAACGTTACATATACTTTACGAAATATTCGTAATTTCCAAAATTAATTTAGAACAAAAAAACTGATAATCGGAACCAATTTCAAACTAGAAAAATGTTTAAAGAAAAAAATAAAGGATTTATGTAAGCTAACCAAATTTATATATACCATATAATTTGAAACTATTTAAAGCTGTATTAACATCCTTCTCTTAGAATCCACTTTTAGAATATTACAAGTATATATCGTAAGCAAGTGGATGTTTCCAAATCTGAGGTATTCATTCATTACCCCAAACTTCATAAAAAATATGTATTTATATGAACTTTTTACTAAATTACCTTTCCTTTTTTGTTTATCAATTAAATTTTAATTTCCATTATCGTTACTACAAATACTATAAATTTAATTTGTATTAACAGTAAAATAGTTATGGAATAATGAAAGTCCTCATAAAAAGTGAATGCACATCCCTAAAAATACTTCTATAAGATTAAAAAAATGATGGTTTACAAAAATTAGCCGAATATTTATGATTCATTACTGATTATTTCGGTCCAAGCCTGAAACTAAGCTACGTGAAACTTACAATAAAAATGGCGTTCAGTTCTAAGGAAAAGGTTGAATATTTTAGTACTATTTTCATTGGTCAGAGAAAATGTATAATTAGTTTATGTCGAAAATTACTAAACTTAAAGATTAAGTTAGAGAAACTTAAGATATCGGCGTTCATATGTGTCATGTATTACATAGTTTACAATTCTTGAATCTGTAAATTGTTGACATCGACAATGGTTATTTTATTTAAAAATCAAATTGGGTTGGGTTAAATTTTTTTTGCATTGCTTATCATTAGAACTGGCAGAAACCTTATTAAATATTTAAAAGTCAAACAAAAAATAAATAAATAAAAAATATTTGAGCCCTCCTTTGAATTTGGAGCCTAAAAACATATGTAAAAAAAAAATTGTCTCTCGCGTACATATGTATATGTATTTATATAACCAAGCAAGATTTACGTATATTACATGGTATGAAGATATTTAAATAAAAACAAGTAAGAAAAGGCTAAGTGTCACCGAACATTTTATACTCTCGCATCAAATACCGTATTTGTGTAAAGTTTTATTCCGCTATCATCATTGCTTCCTAATTTATATATTATACAGAGAAGGCGTGATTGTGAACCGATTTCACCCATATTTCGTACATGTCCTCAGGGTGTTAAGAAACTATTATGTACCGAATACGGTACGGTTGAGATATGGTTTTTGGTCCATAAGTGGTCGACGCCACGCCCATTTTCAATTTTTAAAGAAAGCCTGGGTGCTGCTTCTTTCTGATATTTCTTTCGTAAAATTTAGTGTTAGTCGGTTAACGCACTTTTAGTGATTTTCAACATAACCTTTGTATGGGAGGTGGGCGTGGTTGTTATCCGATTTCTTCCGTTTTTGAACTATATATGGAAATGCCTGAACGACTGTATTGTTATCCGATTTCTTCCGTTTTTGAACTATATATGGAAATGCCTGAACGACTGTATAGAGTTTGGTTTACATAGCTATAGTAGTTTCCGAGATATGTACAAAAAACTTAGTAGGGGGCGGCGCCACGCCAACTTTTCCAAAAAAATTACGTCCAAATATGCCACTGCCTAATGCGATCCTTTGTGCCAAATTTCACTTTAATATCTTTATTTATGGCTTAGTTATGACACTTTATAGGTTTTCGGTTTTCGCAATTTTGTGGGCGTGGCAGTGGGCCGATTTTGCAAATCTTCGAACTTAACCTTCTTATGGAGCCAGGAAATACGTGTACCAAGTTTCATCATAATATCTCAATTTTTACTCAAGTTACAGCTTGCACGGACGGTCGGACAGACGGACCGACGAACAGACAGACATCCGGATTTCAACTATACTCGTCACCCTGATCACTTTGGTATATATAACCCTATATCTGACTATTTTAGTTTTAGGACTTACAAACAACCGTTATGTGAACAAAACTATAATACTCTCTTTAGCAACTTTGTTGCGAGAGTATAATAATATGACGGTCGACTAAAAATGCAGAATAAGCAATATGAATTTAGTTTAAAACTCGAAATAAAACTATTTCAATACATTATTCTATGGGAGAATAACATCTTTAATCTGCGTTGAAGTTAAAGAATTCAAATAACACATAAATTGAAAAGGTACATTGATAATCATATTCGAACGTTCCAATTAATAATTGTAACTGCCTGACTTTTAAAATACTTAATAAGTATACACAAAGATATAACTGCACATGTGTATTATGCATTTCATTAAACATACATTAAATTCAAATTTATCTGAAAGTTATACTTATATAAATAACCTAAAAGGATAGGTAATCATGATAAGTCGTAAATAAATGTGTTACACGAGAAATCCCTTTCATACCAACAAGTTTTTTTGTCATTACTGGTATTACGGATACAGCAAGATGAAGCGTTTTGGAAATGTTTTCGCTATTAATTTGACACATATGATTTAACATTTGAAACTTTTGACCAGCAAATAAAGTTAACACTATATTTATTGGTTTTCGGCAGTTTGCCTTAATCTCATTTATGTAAGTTTTAATTGAAAAAGCGTTGACAAATTCAAACATTTAAAAAACTCTATGAAAAATAAACTTAACTAAAATATGCATATCACAGTTGCCAATTGTGTTAAATATTTTAATTAAATTATAAAGAAATCATTGTATTTTCGCTTCTATAATTTGTTTTCCAATGTTGAATAGGATTGCATTTAACAGAATAAGTAGAATCGATTAAGAATTAGATTATAAACTTCCACCACATTTCTATGTATAGTATATATATACAGTGTATATACATATATATATGAACATCCACACCTAGGTTAAAATATGTGAGCTTTAGGTAGTTGAACTTTTTGAAAAAGTGTTGGTTGTTTTTATTCATCGACACATTCACCATTTTAATCGCAAATGCATTGCTTTCGTTTTCATAAAAGGCTTGCATATTCTTCAACAATACTAATTTTCTGTCAAAATTTATCGCATTAATGCTTTAACTAGTGTTGCGAATATGAATGTAAAAAACAAAAAGCAAACCATGAATAAAACTGCTTTTTCCTGGTCGGTAAAACGTTTTCGGTTCGTATATATCGTAGTTAATTTGGTAATATATCGGCGTAATACACCATGTTGAGTATGATTGGATGAACCGATACCATGTACTAAAAGCGCATTATTTGTTAACAAATTATTTGAAGCAGCAGCCAGAAACGATGTCGTAGTTGGTGTAGATCCTACGGAATCAGATCCTGCACTAACATTTCCACCAAGAAATTGATGATGATGATGATGATGTAGTGGATCGTCGCAACCAGCAAATTCCACTGCAGTCAATTCATTTGCCATTGATGAACTCAAAGGTATTAAACCAATGGCATTAGGACCGATTAATATAGTGCTACCACTATTGTTACTGCTATCGCTAATATTGGTGTTGTTATGACCATTAAAACCATTTGGACTTGCAGCAGACGCACTTACTGAACGATGATGAAGACTGGACGTTGATTGTCTACTGTTGTGGTGCGTATGGCTATGAGAGTGATGTGTATGCAAGCTGTGAACATGATGAGCTAAGTGTGAATGCCCATGGCAATTCATGGAACCGTTGCTGCTATTATTTATCCCTTTAGCGCTTGTTCCAAAAACGCTGCCCATATTTCCTAATAAGTTTCCATCGATATCGTCCAATGCTGCAAGATGTGGTACTTGGTATCGAAATGCAGAAGTATATTGGCCAACCAAATCTTCACCAGATTTAGTAACACGAATAGGATACACTCGAAATTGGTACATAGTTCCCGGCTCAAGATTTTCAATTGTAAATTTGGTTTCTGGACCCCTGTAAATCTAGAAACAAAAAAAAAAGGTCACCCAAAAGTTCCATTTTTATTATTTAATTAATAAATATTAACTACCAATATCATTTACTTTTGCATTTTCGCAAATGCTTTAGATTTTAAGAACACGCTAGAGTGCTTGTTTTAGATATTTACTTAAACACTGTAGTATGTAACTTTTGTTATATTGACTCTTTTAAACATAATGAATATTAGAAAAACAAGCTAAATTTTAATTGCATAAAAAAAATATCTCTATATAAGAGTATATGTAGATACACATTTTTATCCAAATATAATAATTAATAATTTTTTTAATCAAAACATTTCATTTAAAAATAAATAACTATCCACAAAATTTTGTGAAAATCAAATTTAAAAATTTTGTAAAACTTACCCGTCTATAGTCACCATCCTTACCAATCGCATACTGTAATACGTATTCTACAGGATCATTGAACGAATTTTTTGAGTTTTGCCATTCTAGAGTAAGTGGTACACCTAAAGAAAGGTTTCCTAGGCCGGCAATAAAACTTGTAGGTGTTTCAGGAAGAATCCCGGATGGAACGAAACTACTAGCACTGCCGACACCGTGTGTTAATAAACAGGCAGCTGCTCCTTCCATGGCAACCCTTGGAGCTTTAATGTTGCTCGGCAAAGTAGGAGTCGTACTGAAAATATATTCGTCTGAAAATTCTCCGATTCCGGCGCGATCAGTACTTGCATATACGCGGAAGGTGTAAGCGGTACTTTCCTGCAACTTGTTCACCTTACACATACAACTTGTGCCCGAGTAAACTATCTGGAACTCTTTTGCACGCTGAACAAACATTTCTACGTAGTATTTGATAAAATCAACGTTTTTACCGTCACCCCACTTTAATTTTATAAAGTTATGTCCTACTCCTGTACACTCAAGTGTTGGTGGCGGGGGAGGTGAAGGTAATGTTGTAAATTTAGTGTAAGTAGAAAAGGGTCCGCAACCGATACTATTAATAGCCTGCAAACGAATTTTATAAGTAGTTTCGGGTATTAAGCCGTGGATTGTATATGTGGTATTTGCATCCGCAGTGGTAATTGATTTTTCAGCACATTCAATGGTATATCCAGTGATACAAGCACCATTACATTCAGGTTTCGACCAATTTAATACTGCTTTTTTTGCAGTAAATTCACAGTCTTTGATTTGTGGCGCAGCAGGTACTGCCGCTGGCGTACGCGCTTGTATACATGTTGACCATTTACTCACTCCAGCCGCATTACTGGCATTCACGCGAAAGTAATATATAGTAAAAGGTGATAAATTTCGCAAATCGATGCTCGTTTGCCCACCATGGTAACAGGGTAAGTATGCTGATTTATGTGATGAATTTTCAAAAGTAAGATCGGATTCATTTTCAGCAGTTAAACTTTCTAAACGGTATTCCTGAATAGGTGCACCATTGTTACTAGGCTCTTCCCAATTTACTAGCAAATGAGTCGCCGACTTGATTATAACATTTAGATTTTCGGGTGTGTTCGGAGGTGCCGCAGCTGCCGAGAAACGGAACCATGATGACCAAGGCCCAGCACCAATGCGATTAATTGCACGAACCTGTACCTCATAAGGCCAACCAGGTTGTAAGTCTTTGACCACACAAAATGTATCCCGTCCATGGTAAACAATTGAATAATCATTTGTTTTATTCGCAATAGCGTATTTATCATCTACAGAATGACGCATCTGCACTTCAAATTCCAAAATGGGGGCACCACCACTATTTTCTGGTTTATCCAACCTTAAAACCGCCGCATATGGACCCGGCGGACTATCATAATAAGGTGGCGAAGGTGCCGCAGGTACTAAAGCTTCTGATGTAATATGGGCCACATCAGAATACGGGCTAATGCCTGCAGGACCTTCACAAGACGCACGCAATTGGTACGTTGTACCTGGTTGAAGCCGATCACATATGCTCTCTGTATCAGTACCACTATAAATACGTTCAAATTTAGCACCAGATGTGATTTCGAGAAAATATCGAATTATTTCGGCGCCTCCCATATCTATGGGTGGATCCCAACGAGCTCGAAAATGAGTTCCATGTATTTTTCCTTTCACATGTGGTTTACCCGGTTTACCTGGTTTTTCAGGAGCAGTTTGGTAGGTAACCTCATTGGACCATGGAGAGCTGCCCGCTTCATTTTCTGCACGTAACCGGAACTGATAATATGTAGCTCGACGCAGTTCACAACATTCATGACTCGTATCTGGACCATTGTAAGCGTTTAGGTAACCATGGCCTGAGTCGGGATCAAGTATTTGCAAGACATAATCGCCATCTTGTTGTCTTCGTTCCCACCAAAGGCGAATAGTTGTAGGACTGCTGCTCTGGAGTTTAGGAGGCTTCGGTGCAATCGGCGGATTATTCGAGGTACAGTATGAGCAAATGGTGGAATATAATGACATACCCACATCGTTGACGGCAGCCAGACGAAAATAGTATACAGTTGACGGCTGCAATTTAGTAAGAGTGTAGTGCTTGCCTTTTGTTTTCGTTGCTTCCACAAAGTTATGACAATCATTCTCATTATTTTGACGTGAGGAGCGGGTAGATAAAGATAGCCCGGATTTACCGTCGTCATATTCCAATAAATAATGCTGTATGGGTGAACCATTAGATGGGGGGTTCGACCAACGCAAATGCAACGAATTCTTCGTTCGCATTACAAGTTTAGGTGGCATTGGCTGATCTGGTTCACATGGTGGAGTCATGAATTCAGACGCCTCAGAAGCTGTTCCATGCATCTTGTTATAGTACACCTGAAAGTAAATTCGAAATATATATGCTGCAAATATTGGTATGATTAGCATAAACAAACCTGAACTCGAACTACATACATCTGACCTGGTTGAAGGTCTTGTACTATACAGTCATATGAATCGCCTTTATAAAGGCTTTTGTATTTTCCGTCCTTAGCACGATCACTAAGCAACACATTATAACGAAGATTCCTAGTATCAATTTGTGAATCAGTGATTATTGGCCCCTCCCAAATAATTTTTGCTGATCGTGAAGTTAAATTAATTACCTTAAAATATATATAAAATAATAAGTATAAAAAAAATTAAATGTATTGGTTTAATGGAAAACTCTATTTTACTCACACTCGGTTTTTGTATAGCAGATAATTGCTCTATAATCAAGGCTTGAGGGTCTTCCTCATCCACGAGGACATTTGAACTAAACTCTCCTTTATCTTCTTTAGAACTAACTACATTGACACCATAACTTAGCCCACTTTGGGATATATTTGATGCTATGCCCCCATTTCGTTGCGTAGTTTGAGAGTGTAAAATATGCTTTTTTAATGGTTGCCGCAGTGGAGATGTATCCTGTTTTGGTTGGACTATACTTTTGTTTATATTTTGAACACTTTGAATGACTCCTAATCCATTGTCAGTCGAACTTTTCACAGAAGAATTTGAATTAGCTGGATCCGATAGAGAAACCCCTGGAGTTGCAATAACGTGATCGTGCTTCTTTGTTCCATTGATTGGGCTATTGTTTGCAGAGTTAACTGAAAGATTATGATACTCGTATAACAACTTAAACATTTAAAGTCGTAAGAATTAAAACAATTATTTTATTTAAAAAAATTCATAATTTAATTGGTAAAACTATTATAACGATTAAAGGTTCCAGTTCCAATTTTCGAGGATTAAAACCAGTGACATATTTTCAGATGTTAGCAGAAACAAAAACGACGAAAATTATTCTAATTCGCTAAGGTAATATAGCCATAATTATTTCCACCGACTAACAATTTTAATAGAAATAAATATACTTGACGAAATCTCTTAAGCGTATTTTTAATGTATGCGATATTCAAAGGGTCGAAATTTGATGTATTATGTACATATAAAAATGATTCATATGCATCCGTGCCATATTATCCTTAGTGCACAAATGAAACCTTCAACTAAGATGCTAAAGGGAAATGTGTTTAGCAAGTTTGGTTGAAGTACCTTTAATAGTTTGTTAAATGTGTACATAAAAACAATTATAAGCTAAAGACAATTTCACCCAAATAAATATATGAATAAATTCACCACTTTTTATAATATATGTATATTTTATGTAAACTAATCAATCGCGAACCAAAATAAATACTCACTCATTTCCCGTTGTTTCTCAAGTTTCCTTAATAACTTTGTGTGTTGTCGTTGAGTGCGCTCGTCTTTATAATAGCTATTGGGAGGTGAAGGCGAATGTGATAAAGTTTGAGATCCAGTTTGCTGTGGTTGTGTTGTCGCTTTTTGATGTTGGGAAAGTTGTTGCGGTTGCACATGCCCACTTGTCAAAGTGTGGAAATGTGCTGGCCCACCACCTGGGTTAGGAGCAAATCCCGTCGGAAGGGTTGGATAGAATTGAGAAGATCCACCAGCCTGCATCTAAAAATAAATATAAGGATAATACAACTATAGTGTTTTTCTAAAGAATAAATTAAACAAATAAGTTTCCTAATCAAGCCTTTAATCATAAGTGAATAAACAATGTGAAGAATCAAGATTCATTAGCACGAACAAAGCCTAGTATTCACTAACTAAACTTACGGCTACATTTAATTCAAAACTCATTTCCAATTCATATGATGAACGATATACTAATTTAGTAAAAAAAATATTGATTTATACATTTGACGTGGCTTTTCTTTGTTTATATTTTATTCTTTGCTAATTGCAGCGTTGCCAAATCATACAAAAGAGTAATTGATTATTTATTTATTACACGGAAAAAGCAAATACTGTCATATAATCAACTTCATTGTTTAGAATTACTATAAAATTAAGCATAAGTTATGAGTTTTATTTATTTATTTTATCTTTTTATTAAGTTTATAGTTTTTTAATTCGAACACACACCTTTTCGGGTCCTGCTCCATAACAAACCCTTAAATAGTGTAATGTATCTTTAAAATATATTTAAATGGTACCTAATTTTTGTTTTTGCTACTTTTTCGACTTTTGCTATATATTTTTCTAGCCTCACTCGAGAACCGTATCATTAGAAATTTACTTCATAAATATTAAGCCTGAAACTTATGAAGTGATATTTTTGTTTATTAAAAAAGTTTTTACTTGTAAATTGCTTATTTACATGAAAATAGTACTTGTTGGAAAGAAGTATTATATGTTGGAAGGCTGTTTTAGTTTTCGATTTTGGTTTATGTTCAGGGCCGGTTAAAGACAAATTACAGCCCAAGGCAAATGCAAATTCTCCAACCTTTCGAAGCATATTTTGGCATATATGTACATGTATTTTTTAACAACAAAATTTATAATTTGTAAAAATTAGTTAAGTAATTAAAAATACTCCCGTTGTTGTTTGTAATTTGTATAAGAACAGGAAAATACGAAGCTTTGATTTTTGTATATAAAACTATCCTAAACCCACGGCTAAGCTCGCTCCTCGTTGTCAAGAATATCATTAATCATGATAACAATATATTGGAATAGTTTAATTAGCAATCAAAATTTTTTATTAACTTCGTAAATCACTTAAAGAATAGTACATATGTACATAAATACGTACGATGTAACAACGTTTTCACAAATATCTTATTACTTGAATTAAATAATACGTAAAATATGTCACAGTATCTGCACCGTATATTTTATTAACGAAATAGCGTTTCATATTTATATATGTAGTATGAGATATAAATGAAATAAATAAAATAAACAAATAATTAAAAAAACTAAAAGGAGATTAGCCAAAATGTCGCCCTAGGCAATTGCCTAACTTGCCTATATAGTCGGGCTGGCCCTATTTGGTTCTAAGAAAAACAAAATTGCTCTAACTTCAATGTCTTAGCAAAATTGATTTAATTGCAGGAAATGTTTTTGATATTTTAGGAAAGAATTAAAAAAGGAACTTACGAAAGGTGCATGCATATGTCCTTGACTGGAATGGATCTGTTGATATTGGGGCGAAAGCACAACATGCGCAAAAGTTCCGGTCTCGTTAACGTATTGCTGCATCATTTGTCCCTGCGGTACTTGTACCGGCACTGTTATCGATGCAGGACGGTTTTGGGAAACCATTTGAACTGTTGCTGGACCTGCAAATAATTGATAAAACATAGCTCATTTATAAACTTAATTTATCCTTGTTAACAATATATTGTATATCAACAATTTTTTCCCCAACAATTATTCTTTAAGCTCGATACAAGTTCCTGAGTAATTTGGGTCCGTTGCACTTTCTTATTATTTTTCTATTATATTAATATAGCATTTTGGTGAAAATACTGATACGCAATATTATTTTAAATGGCCAGTAAATTCTTCCCTTTCTAATCTTTATCTCTGAACTTCTTGCTTTAGCTTATTTTATTTCCTTTAGAAATTTATTTTCCAAAATTTCTAAAAGTGCGCTATAAATGTTCTAACAAAATAGCAAAATATGATTTTGGACAACATTAAATCGACTCAGCTCGTGACGGTGATCATTTATACCATACCATTTATACATTAAAGGTTCTCTGTCGCTTCATTCTAAGTGTAAGAAACTTCGTAGCAAACTTAATATACCCTGTTCAGTGTGTCATAATTAAAATTTGTCCAATCAATTTTTTTGAAAGGAAACGTGCATTAGAATGTTTATGACCTAAGTCAAATATAAATAAATATATAAAAGGCATTATTTTGGAAATTAATAATAATAATCAATTATAATTTGTAAACTTATGGTTACATGTGTGAGGACAAAATTTTAAATAACACTACAGTCTACAGTCGTGTGCTTAGAATCATATCATTGAAAGTTTGCTCGTATTTGTATATTCAAACACCTAACGGAATATATGCAAATTAATTAAATTAATTTCAAATGAAAGTTTGCTTGAGTTTCGAGCCCATCAGTAGTTTCATTGCGAAATGTGCTATTCAAAATAATAATACTTAGTGAAAAGGAGAATCACTTTCTTATACATATATTTTTATTCCTTTTAATTCATTTAATTTAATTTGATTGCATTATAGTAAATAACGACTCGTCTTTAACCATTTGTTATTGCATGCAAAGCAGGATTAACTATGCACATGCATATACACTTAAGTCAATGTCGTTATCAATCAAAGAAGCATGAAGACAATATCGACGTGAGGAGTTACAAGGAAGTAATGAAGTAGCAGACGAGACGGCGAGACACCTTTAGCTTTAAGTGAAGTCAAGCGCTCATTTAAATTTAACAAGCTGCAAGTAAGGGTAGCATAGAAGCAAAACAACGGTGGACGACACACGTTATGCAATAAGCATATGCGTCCTATATGTTCATATACATAGATAGACCTGTATATATGTACATATGTATGTGTAGAATTTGGACTGGAAAAGCTAAGCTAATAATCGTGCAAGACCACTTTCAATTGTCGTGAAAGACTCTAAAAATATACGTCACCTAAAATGCCAAATAACGTATGATCAAAAAATTCGAAATTGAGTGTTTCATTGATTACGACCCACTACTTCAAATTACATACATATAAGTACATATCTACAACATTTTAAGATTCTGCTATCAGATATAACCCAGTTTTTACCAATATTTAAATTTTGTTTAACTCGTGTTCCATTTTATAACGTGTTTCATTCTTTCTACTGTAAATTTCCGATAATGTTGTTACGTTATTTTGCATTTTAGACGATATGTACCTTTATGTATGTATGAACTTTATTTGCTTGTTCCCTTTTGTGGAAATAAAATGTAGTAAATGACCAAAGTTCATATTAACAAGGAGGAAAAACCAAACTGGAGGGTAACCTAGAAGCTCTCTCTCTTTTTATATTCTTGCAACATGCTGTCACAGAGTATAATAGTTTTGTTTCCCAAGGGACGTTAGTAACACCTAAAACTAATGGAGATAGATATACAGTAGACAAATAAAGTTTACATACACCTAGTTCTGTTAAATTATTAGTTTATTTGTTTCAAAATGAATAAGTCTATAATCCAGTATTTTGGCCATATTTTGAAGAAATTCGATATTTTCGAATACGGTTTTCCAAAAAGTTCCAGATATTTTGAATAGGGTTAATGTCTAGTGATCTCGGGACCTCTGGACTTATTTTTATGTATTTCCATAACAACCATTCACGTACAAAATAAGACGAGTGTTTTGGGTCGTTATCCTGTTATATATAAGTGGCTGCTATTAACAGCCGATTTAGGCACACTTAGAATTTAAATTATTTTCTTAAAATGTTCAGATACATATGCTTATCCATTTTTCCACTAAGCAAATCCAAATGTTCAACTCCAGAAGCAGCCATATACCCACAAACCACAACATTACTCTCACCGTACTTTTTTCTTGTACGTGAATGGTTGTTATGGAAATAAAAATAGCTCCATAAGTCCCACAATCACAAGACATTAATCCTATTCAAAATACCTGGAACTTTTTCGAAACCTGAAAATTTTGTATAAGTTTTCCGTGGGCAAAAAGGAGGACGAGTTGGTTGATGGGCGAAAACGTGTAAAATGCCAGAACTAAACCACAAATTAAGAAACGAAGCTGCAATTTGGTACCAGGAATAGCAATAACGAGGAGCACCTGTATTTTTAAAAAACTCAGTGTTTCTGTTAATAATATGTTCTACATAAGCATACAGCCTTATACTGTATACGTCGGTCAATATGTAAGATATATTCACAAAATTAATTATATTATACTACATATAAAAATTTTTGTTATTCTAACAATGAATGGTCTAGACTGTGATCTCAATCTCATTTGAGGGAATCATCAATTCCGATCCGTTTTGCATATCAACTCAATATATTAAATTTAGCTTCTTCTGTTGAGTTTATATGACATATATCTCTTTTGAATTATAATATAATTTTCGCTGATGGAAAGTTACATTTTGCTATCAAACCAAGTGAGTATATGACCTTTAATATAAGTTATGTCTTTCCTTACTTGTTACAACTATAATTATTGTGTAGCGGATAACTAGCTTGAATACCAAAAAATATTTATACCACGGATCTCAATTTTTATTTATGATATTCATAGCAAGAACTGATAATGAGGCAGACAAGACCAGAGCAACTGATCTAAGTCAATAAATGTCTGAACTCTGTACTAAGTTTCATTAAGATATCTCAATTTTCACTCGTGTTGGCGCATCTTCGGGTGATAAACAGATACCTATATATGTATATACATAGTTTGATCACTCACTTCAAGGTATTGAGAGCGAGACGATTAAAGTTTTTGACGTAATCATATGTGGATTTCGTTATTTAAGAAGAGGAGAAATTCTTATATATGTAGTATGTATGTACATATATTGTCTGAATGGATAGAGCAAACGGTCTAACGCCCTCGGTGAAAGCTGAAGCCTTAGAAAATCTTGAATCGATTATTTAAACGAAATAAGAAAATCTATTTCGTTACAGTGTTAGGTGTTCAAGTAGGATTTGTATATTCAAGCCATTATAACCGGCTGCGAATAGACTATATAGTAGGATATGTGTACATATACATACGTCACCGTGGAAGTGTCTAAGCATTTTTAAGCTCATTGAACCTCTTATGATAATCAAATTTACATGAATACATATATTTATAATAATCATTATAACAAAGCTATAAGTATGTGTGATGATATATGTATATATACAAATGTATATAAATATCATGTAATGCGTGAATTTATAAACCACCGACAATTCAATATGGAAATAAATATGTAATATACTAATAAATCCGTCGCCTTTATAAACGCTTTAAACTTTTACGGTTTTTTTTATATTTTATATAATATTTTATTTGCTATGATGTTGCAAATCCATATGCTCGGTTAGCTTACCATAATCCGTTGACATTGCGCACATCGCGTGATGATGATGTGGGTGTTGTGGACACATGCTATCGTGTGAATTCGGGGTAATGTAATACTCTGCCGGAAAGAAATCGGCAGGATATTGTATATATAATTGACCAGGCGTGGAAGGTACACGTTGAGCAGTAGCAGTTGCGGACCCACTGCTGCCAGTGGAAGTCGCAGCACCGCTGGTGGACGATTCGGTGGAAGATGCCCCAGGACTGTTTCCGGTAGCTTGATTTGCTACACCGCCGCTATTAGCACTATATCCACTATCGTGATTTTTTTCTTTTAAAAGTTGTTGAGAATGTTGAGTAGTTTGAGGTTGTTGAGAAGTCGTCGTATGCGCTTGCACCTGTAGTGATGCGGACTGTGGTTGTGCTTGTGGACCATGAGAAAGATGCATATGTTGTGGTGGTAAAGAGCCGAGGCCAGTCGTAGCTGTTAAATGTTGATGCATGGCAGCCACTAAAGCAAATTGCTGTTGATGCTGCTGTGGATGATGTATAGCGCAGACTGGCTGCACAAGTTGGGCACTTTGAGACGCTTTAGTTGTTTGTTGAATTAGAGGCGGTGATGCTGGCAGCGACGATGTTGAAATCTCGGAAGGTGACTGTTGTGGTTGTTGTTTATGTTGATGTTGTTGAATTGATATAGCAACTCCGTTAGACTGCGATGGAGTTTGATGGTGGACATGATGGGTAAAACTATGTTGTTGAGGAAGCTGATGTTGAGATGCGAGCGAAGGCAGATGTGCATATTGAGCCTGCTGCTGTGTCGCATGTGTCTGTTGAACTTGTTGCTGTTGTGTTACAACCATTAACATATTGTTGGTGGACCGTTGCTGAAGAACTTGACTTGTGTTATGTTGTTGATGCTGATGATGTAAAAGCTGATGTTGGAATTGATGCTGTATTTGATTTTGATGTGGTTCAAATGAGGAAGCGTTACTATTTAGACTCGATGTCGATGATGAAGACGAAGAAATATTCTTATTAAGAGCTCCGGCACCAACATTCTGTTGACCATTATTATTAGAAATATTATTGGCATATGTGTTAAGCTGCGGATGGTGTTGTTCCGGAGTAGCTGAGACATTTAAGCGAACCATGTCAACCGCCTAACTTGAGGGCTGATATTGTGCTTATTAGGTTTGAATACTCGTATAGCTTATTTTTGTTATTATTTATTATATTTGTGCACTAAAGTTTTGAAGCTCTTATGAACAAAAGAAAAAAATTTTAACAATGTGGAAGACATCAACATTATAGCAGCAACTTTTTTACGTTAAGTATTTTCTCTATGTTGTTATATTATTATTATTTATCATTATTAAATTTTTTATATTACTGTTATTAATCAGCTAGACTTCTCGGGCAGTTTTATTTAAATTCTTTTTAATTAGGTTATAATATCTGAAAAGTAAGTTAAAAATAAATACATACAAAATTTGGTTTCAATTTTAAGTTTGGGCACTGCATTGATGCTACTCCAATATTTTGTTGTTATTACACATTATGAGTTAAAGCCGAACTATTGAAACTAATAGTAATCCGGTAGCTGTCTGAATTCTAAAACCATACAAAAAAAATCGTAAGATGATTACAAAAAATAATAACATAGCTGAAGCTACTTAAATGCAAATAAAATATTGTAAACAGGAAAGCGATTCTAATAGAAGTATGTGTTAAATTATTATTAAAAAAAAAAAAAAAACCAAAACTGTGACATAATTATTGTCGACGCCCTTAGGATGGTGCACAAATATTTCGTCATTTATCCCCATCCTATTAACCTTTTGTTTCGTCAATGTAACAGAATCCTCACGCGCAAGCGTTTGGTGTGGTCTTGGCCTCCAAATCTTACTTTTGACCAACACATCGTGATTCGGCATTTGCCCATATCGAAAATATCGAGTTGATACAGCCCGGTTATGGTAATTTGTTTGACTTTATACCCTGTAAATCAGTATATAAGATCTGTAGGTATATTAGGAAAATTAAGGAAATTCTACGTCTTTGGTGTTGATCTTTCAAAATTCCCAGAATAAATTCGGTTATACCGAATTTTTATAAATATGTACAATGTATATACATATGTACACATACATATATGAATTACTTAACTTTTTCGTATTTAATTCATCATTATGAGTAATTCAGAATTGTGTTTTTTACAAATTTATTACAGTTGTGAATTATTCAAATTGTTTGCGTTCTCCGTTATTATATAGTTTTCATTTTTCAATCTATGTACGTTTAAACTTGAGATACTTTACATCTCTATTGTATTCAGTTAACTTTAACAACTGAAACCAATCGATTAGTTTGTTATTGTGTGTCAATTATTTTATTTTAATAAATAATGCTATCATATTTAGGTGTTAAGTGTTAGGCCAGCGTAGAGTCCTTAAAAGGGCATTACTTTGACATTTTTTTTTGCTATTTTGATACAAAATGACGTCTACTGGGGAATCAGGAGAACCTCGTTGGGAGAAGGTGATTTTTTTTGTAAAAAAAACGCATTTAAAAATTTAAGTGCTGAAGCAGACTCAGCCAAACGCTACGACGCTACAGCAGGTTGGACAGCCAAATATTTTTAGGATCCTTAAATAAGTATGTATACTTTAGTAAACAAAGTCTGCCCAAAAATACATGTTTATTACGGATGAATGATCCATCATACAAGAAATGTTAAAATTATATGGATTTCTGCAAATTGATTTTAGTGTAGGCCAAAGGCAAGATGTAATCTCTTAGCTTGTTTCTATAAAAATATGTATACATACATATGTAAGTACATACATGTACATATATTCATTGTTTTTATACTGCATGGCAGAGCTAAACCGCCTTGACCAGAATTTTTACACACTGGTCTTTTAAATTTACATGTGTATGGTGATATGTACATACATATGTCCGAATTACATATATAGTACTTTATCTAGGTATATATACATTTGGGGCTCATTATTTTATGCTTTTGTGCTTTCGCTGTTAGAACTGTAAAGCGATACATATACATACATATGTACATATTTCAACATGTATGTATACGAGTACTTTGTTTATAAATATGCAGAAGTCTGCCGACAACACGTTCGTTTATTCGTGTTCCGCTGAAGTTTTTGCTTTTTGTTCGATACTCATCGAATCTGGATACCACACAAATGCGCTATACGTTTGCAATTTCTTATGTACTCACATACATATACATATATGTATATCTAAGTATTTATGTTTAAGTAAAAATAACTAAAACTACGCTCACATAGGATTCTTCGTTATATCTCTTATATTTTCTACTTCTTTAAGTATGTATGTATTTGTGTAAAAACATACTTTTGTATGTCCGTAGATATACATATGTACATGTTTCACTCTCAGCTACCTCTTGGGAAAACTATGCCTCAGTAACATCAATTTTTGATTGAAAATGTATGTATGTACATATGTTTATTACTTCATTAAAATCCAAGTAGATATCGAAAAACCCAAAAAAAAGAAGGTGAGTATTGACATGCCTTATGCAAGTTTAAATACTTGTTAGGTAGTTAATTAGAAAAACTGTAGTTATTTTCAAATGAATGCAACAGAAACCATTTCAATAATCGTGATATATGAATAACATCAAGTTCAAAACTATCGAACCCCTCTCCTTAACCTTAACAAAATTATTAGAAACCAAGTCTTATTTTAGGTTTTTAGAACAAATTCCAGACGCGAACCTCTCGAAACGAACAAGAAAAGATAAATTCTTTTTTGGGGGCAAGGATAATCGATAAAGCATAATGATGGTTTTGATACAGTTTTTATATCAAAATCAGCAAAGTCAGCATTCGGAAAACATTTTGTTAATCGACGAAATTTTTAATACAGAAGCCAATAAAATTGACATTAGGTTAAGGTTAAGGTAAAAAAAACAAAATGTTTATCTGCTTATTTGATAGAATTAGAATATTTCGCTGCATTCATTAATTCTGTGTATTACACTAAGTATTGGGCAAAGAGTAGTAATCATATATGGCACCTGTAGGTACATACATATATCGATAGATATGATCTTTCATTCAGTATTAGGCAAGGAATACATACATATGTATATGTAACTTCGACTGAGTAGGACTGAGGAGGCAATTGAGAAGTAACCGCCGAGGGAAGCAGAGGAAGAGAAAAATCTCCATTCCGTTGAAAAGACCAGGTGGAGAAGAACCTGGCTTCGTTTGGAGTCTCCAATAGGCGCATGTTTGCGAAAAGAAAAAAAACGACTGGCTTGTTAACTCGGCTATAACCACGTAAGCGGTGTCTCGCCACTAAAGAAGAAGAAGATATACATACATACAAACATATATGATAGAAAAATACTTTTCATGGATATATACGTATCCCATTTGTTTTTTAATATCGTTAATGTTTATAAGATTTACAAGCAATTTAGAATTACTGAAAGTTACAAAACAAAAGAAACTTACGATATACATATGTATGCATGTATACATATGTATATATATATAGGTACATACAGGCATGGACATATAAATAGCACAAATCCGAATCCAATATTTCTCCTAATTTCGTTAATCGTTTTTAATTTAATTTTGCGAATCAATAATTAGTTCGTCGACATTTTATTAAAATGGGAAAGCATTGCATGCCGGAAAAGAGAGAGCTTATTTGCGATATGAGCAAAAAAGGAAAGGCTTAAAAGCGATCAAAATAATCACTCCTGTAAAAACGCCACATAACATCAAAATTGGACTGGCATTTGCAAAGGCCTACAGAGACAAACCAGTACAATTTTGAGGAACTCACTTTAAACCAAGATAAATAGGATGAAACCAGATGGAAAAAAATATTCGTACGTCGTCCACAAGATCAAGCCCTTAACCTTAAGTATACCAAAAAACCATTAAACACGGCGGTGGAAGTATCATGGTCTGTAGCGCATTTTTATGGCGTCTGTCCAATTGTACTAATAAATGGTAAAATGTACCGGTTTCAGTATTTGGATATACTGAAAAATAAAAAGGGAGCAATTTGTATTTGAATCCAATTTTGATTATTTCTGGTCTCAAATTGAGGAGTATTCAATCCCAAAGGAACGATGTGAAAAACTGGAGGACAGCATGCAGCGAAGATGTGATTGGGTGATTAAAAACGATGGGTATAGAACAAAATACTAAGGAAATGAGATAACTTTTGCTATATTTTAATCAGTTTTATAAATTTTTGTACCTTTTTGTAAATCCTTTTCAAATTGTGCTATTTATGTGTCCCAGCTGCCACATAGATTATTGATGTTTTCGTTTTTTAAAGATAATATAATATCTATTGTTTTAGTGATTTAGTAATATAAAATTTAATAATTTTTAAAATAAAACACATGCCTATTTAAATCCGTAAGTGATAAGCTTAAGGAATAAATATGTAATTGTTTTTTATTTGATGACCAAGTGTACTATTTTTATGTCCATGGCTGTGTGTATATTAAAACAATGTTATACGCAATTTTATTGGCATTTAGCAAATATCTTCAAGTAAAGTTTCTTTTTACTTTCAGAGCGATTTTTAAAAGAGGTTATTTACTTCGGTTTTCACTAAGTCCAAACACTCTTCGGTCAATCCACACTCACTTAATTTCTTTAATCAATTTTTTTAACAACTTAAAAATATATTCCCAAATTTATATTTACGCTAATTTTAATGCTACTATCGGCATTTTCACAGCTTATACTGGCACGTTTTCTTTATACTACGTACATATGTATGTACATATGTAATCAGACGGTTACTTTTTCGAATAATCATGTTTTAAATATTTATTATGTATATATGTATGCACAAATATATATGTATGTATTAATGTAAGCATATATATTATATTTTTTATTTATAGTGTTTTCGATGTTATTTTTTACCGCTCTCTGTTGTTGTTTATAATTTCCACTTTTGTTAAACATTTTTTACAACTACTACTTTACACAATTCTCACACCGGAAACAACAATTGAATACGTGAATTCTGCAATCTGTAGCTCTGTCGGTGTTTCTCGAGTATGAAATATGTATATTCATACAAACTATGTAGTTTGTGTGAGGAGTCAGTCGCTCCAGCCACACGTAAAGCGGGGCACAATTATTTGTTGTATTGTACTTTTTGTTACGACTTTGTACCGCGCCCTGCATCTATTTGTCGAACATTTAGAAAATGAACTAAGTGAATGCCCATTTCCAAGCTAAGAAAGCGAAAAGGACAAATACTTTCGAACTTTTGTGTAACTATGCTAAGTAATAAAACATGTGTATGCAGATTCATACATACGCATATATAAATATTTATACATACATATGTATGTACATATATTCTTGGGATCAACTGTGACTGCGATATGCATCTTGCATTTTTTATATTCTTTAAATAATTTTATTTTTATTTTTTTATGTACATACAATTTTCAGTCATACATACATATATCTATTTAACATAGATATTTAACGATTATAGTATACATATGTATATATAAGATTGCATTATTTGATAGTTAGCTTGGACCATAGTATTTTCATTCACTTTTCTCTATTTAGGGTTTCTTTGTTACTTCACAATTTCTACAATTTGAAACTTCCACGAGCACACAATGACGGTATCTGAAAAATATCACGCGTCACTGAAATTCAATTTTTATTTTCTTGTTCGCTTTAACCGAAACTGGAATTCCTCGTGCAAATTCTTTTGCCCGATGATTCGCCCGTTTAATGCAGTTCTCAGTTTAGTTTATGCTGCCAATTCGCAAATATACAGAAAGCTATGAGAACCAATTTATTTCATTCCAACTAATTACTATTTTTCACCTCACTATATTAATGGAAATTGTATAAAATAAAATTTCTATTGCAATGGACTGGAGCGTGGGCATATCCCTTGATTTAAAAATAATATATACATACATATGTATAACGTAAATTGCCTAACATTATACATTTTACATCATATGGCAATATACACATACATACATATATACATATATATTTATATATATATATATATATACGTAAATCTATTAGGCGAAGACAATTGAGTACACTTTATTGTTTTTAAATAATATGATCCTGGTGAAAAAATTACACTACGACACCGCTAACTAAGTTCAACTATACTATTCGATTTGGATGTTAGCAACGCACTATTCACGTCAGACTTCAGCGCTCCACTTTGGTATGTCTTTCTACCGAGCGAGCAATGAACATTCACTCAACTGCCACATCCACGAGACACCACAATCAATTCAACGAAGTCAGCAGCATACGAACGAGTGAACGAATGAACACACTGATATCCATCAAACCAGACCAACCATCCAGTTAAATCATTGCGTTGAGGCAGTCCAGTAGACCGGTCGATAGCTCCGCCAGAGAACTTAAAGACAAACCTGCACCTTCTCTAGGTCTTTACATTCTCTGGCTCCGCTATCACTTCTAACGCTTTCCGCACACTTGTTTCACTCTTAGTTGCCTTGTGATAATATGCAGAAGGCATCGAGAGTACTCGTTCATTTAGAAAAGAGAATTCGACAAAATGAACATATTGTACATGAACCCAAATAAACTCGGTAAATTGTTGGAACGACAAAAGTGTGGCAGCCGAACCTGTTTTCTTTGTTGCGGACAACAAGACTTCAGTACCGCATATTTTTTATTGGAATGCACTGTAATGGAATTTTCGGTGTTTCAACTGGAAATTATTCTTGTGTAGCTCCTGTTCACTTCCAAGCTATGCCCTCTTGTATCTACAAATGCATCTCTCTGCATGTTTACATACATATGTACGTATAGTAAGTACTTCGTTTCCATTGTGCTTCCGAAACTAATATACATATGTAGTTTGTAGTTACCCAAACCGCTAGATTTATGATATTCGTAATTTAGCTTTTTTGTGTTAAGCAATATTTAACTAGTTTCGATTTTGAAATCATGTTTTATATTGATTTTCCAGAGCAGACATATGCATGTACATATATATGTACATATTTAAATTATACATACATACATACAACACTAACTAACATTTCACACATATGACACGATTTATTTTACCTACATTCATATACAAATACATACACACATATGTATGTACATAAATGTATCTTAAATAAAAAAATTAAATTTTTATATTCATACACATGTATCTATTTTTGATATTTTAATAAGCGGGTTGATTTGAGAGCATAACTGTGAATACTCATCCACCTAAAGCCCCAGAACGAGTTAACTGACTCAAAATCAAACCTATGAGAGCGCTGTGAATATAAAAACTCAGCATCATGGGTTTTTACAATTCTTTTCGTAGCAAAGTAGCAGCTTCTTTCTGCTTTCTCCGAAACAGTGTTACCATATTTGATAATTTCAATTTGTTTAGAACTAATAAATAATATATACTATATGATTTAATTTGTAAAATTCGATATTATTATGCAACATAGTTGCCAATAGAATCACACACCGATTACAGAGATCTTACTACTCTCGGAACCATTTTGCTCGCTTTGTCTTTTCTTCGCCTTCAAATTGAGCCGTTTTTTGTGATCTCGTCTTCCAAATCTTGTAAAAAAAATAGTTGTAATTGCTGGTATGAAACTATTTGGTCGAGTTTTAACACACTGAAGAAGTCTATATTAGCGATTTTAGATTGTAGACAAAGAAGTTAACATGTTTTCGATTATTTTCGGTAACAATTATATTAGCTGATAAGTGTTATCACTATAATTTACTAATGGCAGCATTATTTAATTTATGGGTATTTTAGGTATGATTAAGATGTAGATCCCAATTATTCATTATTATTATTTATACTATAATTATTCATTATTATTATTTATCCTATAATTATTAATTATAATATTTTAAATAGCATTGTGCTCAAAATTGAAAAATTACTTATTTCATTTTAAGTACATTTTGGATAACCTGTATCGATAATTGATTGTGAAAATATGTACAACAAAGAGTCTGCAAATGAGGCCTAGAATTGCAACCGGGCAATAGTTCCACAATTTTATCTGGAGTTTAGACGAAAATTTGCTCAACAAAATGTTTAATTCAATATAGAGTATACAGTGAAATTTCCCATTACGGACAGTCCTCATAGCCAAACATCCCCCATAACTGAGCAATTTCATGAACATAACGTTTTCATTATTATTTTCATACAAAAGCAATTGCTTTAACCGAATATAATTACGTTCCAATGATCGTATTTCGTTAAAATTATATCTGATAAACAGAAAAGATGTCATAAAAAAATTATGTACAATTTATAGTTCCCGTTTTTTTAATTCTTATTATTTTTTGTATTGTTTTATGACAGTTTTTTTAAGAACAATGCGTTAAATAGTCACAGAAGACAAATTGTCTTGCGTTCACTGTACAAATATTTTTTATAGTTAGGTACTGTGTTCACATACATAGATATATCAAAATAATTTAGGCGATAAAATATTTAGTACATTCTGTAAGCACCGTAAAGTTTATGCACACTCACGGAGCTTTTGTACAGTTTTATATTTCTGTTGGTAACATTTTACATAAATTTCATTGCTGCAACTATATTTTGTGTGCTACTGCCACTGTGTAGCGAAAGAATAGAAAAGGAATTCATTCCTGAAAGTGAATTTCTACGAGTAGCCGTAAACACTTTTTATACGTATTTATATACTATATTATACATAATTTAAAAAATTTCTTAAGAAACTCTTTTAAATCTCTAATAGAGTTTACTCATAGATATTACGGTATTGTTTTATCGTTTTGTTCGCCTACGGGATTAAAATCAACCCTTTTAACTTAAATTACAATGTATGTATGTGCTATAAACTCAACGAAAGGGGCTAAATTTAAAATATTGTGTATATGAGGGCAAGCCAAACAACAATTGGAAGGCAAGGGATTGGAAGGCGTAATAGGGATATGATGCTTAGAAGAAGATCTAGACCAAACTCATTCATATTCAGCGCAAAAACACATTATGTTTAATAACACATGTGCATTTGACATCAGTAAAATAACGCACATTTAACCAATACGAAAAGTTCAAAGTTCGATTGAAGTTTGGAAACCACTATACGGGGTACATTGGAGCTAGAGAAAGATCTGAACTGAATTTAATTTTGAAAATTCTTAGTCGAAATAACTAATAACTTTCAAACCACAGATGATCCTTCATACTTCGGACGTGTGCGAAATTGCTGATCGGTATCTCAAAAACTCAGTGACTGATTCACGTATTTATGTAGATACTATATGTATGTATTCTTTACAGGGTCTCCGACGTTTGCTTCTATGCAAAGTGTTTAGAATATAAAAAGTAAAGAAAGAGAGGAATAATTTCTGCACTGACTTTATGTAAACTCGACGAGGAGTCAACATGGACAATATACTTTCGCAAACGACAGTGTTCAGCATAAAACTATTTGCACAAAATATATTAGGTGAATAAGAAATGTTGTTGGTAAATGGTTGAAAATGTACACAAAAATATACAAAGTAGTAATAAAGCGTTCGCTTACCTCGATAGAGTTTGCCTTTGCCAGAAATGTTTAGTATAATGCCCGAATCGAATTTTTGCTGCTGCTGTTGCTGTTGATAATGCGCCTGGGCTTGTTGAGGCTGTTGTTGGTGACGTAGTTGATGATTTTGAGTTTGATTCTGATTTTGATTCTTTACTTTTGAGTTTTGTACTAGCTGATGATTGGTCGTATTAACTTTCGCCACTGGAACAGTTTGATTTTGTAGCGGATTCTGATACTGCTTGGAATGTAAAGACTGCGAAATGCTACTTCGTGTAGAGCTGAGGGTTGCTTGATTAAATGATACACATTGTGGGTTGGGCCCGGCCTCCTCTGATGGTGGATTTAAGGCCGCGTGACCATGTGTCGGACAGAGAGTGTGGAGTTCTCCATGGGAGTTTATAAAAACAGGTGCTGCCTCTAAAAGTGGCCAAGGAGCTGCTCCATTGCCAACCGAGGATACCACAGTAGAAGTGGTGCATGGTTCCTGCCGCTGTCCAAAAATACTATTCGAGTCGGCTGCTAGTGTTGGAGTGCCCAGTGAAATCAACTGAATCGGGAACAGTTGAGCTTGCTGAGTTGGATTGGCGACAGTCACGGGCAAGGCGCTTGTTTGGATTGCAACAGCAACTGAACTATTAGCACTATTCAGATGAGTTTGCGAACAATTTCTCAATTCATCGCATTGTTGAGGATGTTCGTTAGAGGATATTACAAAATTGTGTACCTGTTGTAAATTTTGTATTAATGATGAGCAATAGTGTTGGTGTTGAAAATAATTTTTGGAATAGCTTGGTTGAACTACTGGTAAGACTTGCAGCTGCTGTTGTTGTTCTTCTTGCAATCCTGGATATTGATGTATGTTCGTTTTGTGCACAGCAGTTGTAGTTGCTAATTGTTGTAGACGCGGTAGCTGCGGTTTAGGCAGTTGTGGCTCTTGTTGGTAATAGATCGCTGTCTGCTCGTAGGCATACATGGATGATGAGGCAGTAGTTGCGGATGAAGTTGGTTGTAATATTTTTCGTGCTGGATGAAAAGATGGGGCCAAAGGCGTCAGTTTGGATTTAAGAGCCTTCAGAGCTAATGCCATAGATGGTGTGGCATTTTGGATTGTTGACATCGATTGCTCTTTACGTTTTGATGACTCAGATTGGACATGAGACTCAATTGAAACTGAATTATTTGTTTCAATCGTACTTAATATTTGCATGTTATTTTTGGAGGATTGTATCTTTGATCCATTAAACACTTGTGCTTCTCCTTTGTTATTATTGTTATCCAAATTTTCATTTAAGTTCGTATTTGCATATTGAGAATCCAATAGTACAGGGTCATTACTTACTCCACCGGAACTATATATATTATCGTGATTATCGTTACTAGATTGGTGAGCATCTAAATTCAATGACGACGCAACAGGTAAATTTTTATCTGGTTGCTCTTCGTTTTGCATTATTGTATGGTGTTCATTATTAATAATTTGATAACTTTCACCGATAAATGCAACTAACTCTCGACATGATAAGTTCATTTCTTTAGTTTGATCTATGCTGTCCTCTTCCGTATCTTTCCAAGGGCTATCACATTTCATTTTCTCACCATGTTTACAAAAATTTTCATTTGCACAATCTATAACGTGTTCTATTATCCGGAAATTGTCATAGTCAATAATGCGCTCTTGATAGGTGCAATTTGCTAAAGTTTGGTCACAATCACAATTAAATTGTGGTGTATCATTATAAGTACATTCAACTGTTTCCAAAAAATTTTCAGTATTAGTATGAGTTTTGCATCCAAAAATATTATCAGAATTTATAGCAGATTTCTCAACTTCCAAAATTCTAACCGATTTCTTAAAAGAATTGTCGCATTCAATGAGACTTTTTGTTTCAGATAAAGTGTCATTACTACTTCTACTACATTCACTCTTCATGTCTATAAAGTCCATTTCCCTGAATAAGAAATAATTTTTATTTTCCAACATATTCTTTTCGTTGTCGTTCCCACTTTTTCTATCCTGTGTAATTGATATAATTCCTCCGCTTTTCTCGCTGATCTCATTAAACATTAAGCTCTGATTTTGTGTTTTTGAAGACAAAAAATCCTTCTGATCATTATTTAATGGCGCTGTATTACGCATAGTATCGGTCTGAGTGCTATTATCAACGCATTGCATCGTTGTCAATCCGACGGCTGCAACAATTCTATTTGAGCATTTATCTTCAACACAGCTAAGTGATCTAGCTAAAGTAACAGATGGTGTATGCAATATTTTTACAAAAGGCAAATTGGATCTAAGCGACTGGGCCCGAATTGTTGATATCGGAATAGCTGAAACTGCTTTTGTACGCTTTGAAGGGCGTAGAATTACGTTAGAGTTTGACGTATTATTTAATAACCGGTGGTCTGTGATTGCTGCCTGCGACGAATCAATAGCGTGAGATGACGCGGCGATAGCAGATATTTGGGTGGTCATTACAGTAGCCGTCATACATATGTTTAAATCGCAAATTAAGTAGCCGCTTCTGCGACTGGCACTAATTTTCTACATTATAATATGAAACCATGCAAAGCTGGTGCTTGTATAATGTTTTAACATTCCAAAGCATCTGAAATAAGTAATGGAAGAGAACATTCGTGTATACGTATGTATATATGTATGTATATACATATATCTATCTATATAACAAATCCTTAAATGAATCTTTAATTAGTATATTCATATGTAACTCTGCATGAATACATGATGCTCCATTTGCATCACAAGTACATACATACATTAATTTCTACAGATCCTCTTTCAAATGTAACGTAAATATCTACATATATGTGCACTTTAATTTCGACAATGACCACGCACTTATTGTTTTATACACCTCAAATAAATTTTTTGTAGAATAAAATAGGCGTATATATTATAAATAACAGGAGTAATTTGAAATGGAAAATTAAGGCGCACTTACCAATATTTATTTGGCACATAGAAAGTAAAGATATTCATATGCACGTTATTAAAAAACAATTCATATTTATAAATAATAGTAAAACTGCATCAAATTTTAGCACAATTTATGTAAAAAAATTATTTTACTGTGAACATATGTTTGAATATGTTGATTGTATTTATTCACACACGTACGCCCGAACACTATTACGGAGAGATGCTTTATATACACCCGTTTGCTTCGTGGTTGGATTCCTGAATATTAACTGAATGTTTCTCGCTATATGTTCGCATAGTTTATGTGTGTTTGTATATACAAGTATTTACATAGATATAACAAAGTTAGAGCTTTCACCCTGTTCACCATTTATAGCACTGCACGAAGTTACTTTAAGTTAAGTTTTAGGTTTTAAATACTTCATGAGGGGGTAGTATTATACTTGTTTTTTTTTTAACCATCTATTTCTATCTCAGAATAAACAAATAACTGAAAACAGATAATGATATGTAGTAATTGGATCCTAATGAGGACCTGTAAGTGCTACTGTATGGTGAATTTCCTAATTAGGCATTTGAATAAGGAAGTCAGTTAATGAAACAAAAAAACTTTTACGTATCTGGCTGGTTCATTCTGACCACAACGGAAACATCATTTACCCAACAAGTTGGGTGGATATTTTACCAATTAAATCTTGTGCTATAAAAAATTGCACCATAATAGTCATCACTTACTTACAAATACAATGTGTTTAGACCCAGTGTATAACGAAGTCATTTGAATGGTTAGAAAAACTAATTATAAGATACATATGTATGTTGGCAATAAAATGATACCAAAACGATGGCCTTCACCTCTCACGTGTCAAAAATGTTTATAAAATTAAATCGTCCATAATTAACATCGTTGCCAAATTCAAGGTGTTAAAAATGTATGTATATTTGTATGAGTATACATATGTTTAATCCGTAGCCTAGACCTAGAGATATTTTATAACTTTGTAGTTATTGGTTCCGAAAGCAAATTTTAAATCCATTTGAATGTATTTATAATTTTTCATATGTATACTGTCTAATAAAATTAATATTGGTTTTCTCATGAACACTTTTGTCCTTTACTGTATATATGTATGAATTGTGTTTACATATTACAGATAAACTACTGATAAGGTTAGGAGGAGAGCGAAACGAACTAATTAAAATTACATTCAAAGAAAAACTAGAAAGAGAAAATTCAATAATAAACTAAATAGTGACTATGTATTGTATATACACGTAACCATAATGTGAGATATTTGTATCCCTTTTAATATTTTTTGCTACTGCAACGATAATTTGTAGTTATTTATTTACCGTCATATGTCCAGGTATGATACTAAATATAAATATGATCATTGGCCGATGGTTTGTACATGCTTTTATTGGATGTACTATATGTACATACATATATACATGCATATCTAAGTTATACTTAATAATACTTATAATATGCTAAACAAAAATATACTGGTCCATTCATATTTTTGTCAATGTGTTAGATTTCGCTCAAATTTCAATCAAGTAAAAATGTTTCCTTATTAATTATATTCATGCACACACACATTGTACATTAACATATGTATATGTATGTATACATACACATAATGTATGATGACTGCTGTTCGAATTCAAAATGACGTGGCAAAGCTAGAAAAAATGAATGGCAACCTGACGAAAAACTTCTATTGAGGCCATTTATATACACACACGCTTTTAAACACAATTTTATTTATATGTTAATATACTCACTTTATATTTTTATCTTCCTAAACTGAGTTTACCGTATAATTTATGCATTCTTGCCTACAATCACATTCACTTTCTTTTGCATTTACGGAGCTTTCCAGTAATTTTAAGACTGTTTTGTATAAATATTACAGCCTTTATCTCAATCTTCTAGCTTTTGCTACGCCCAACATCTGTACAATTAACTTAATACGTGAAGCACTATATTATATACATACATATTTTGTTACTTGTGCAATGCAACTGTTACACCAAACCAGTTAAAACACAAATTCCACCATTGTGATAAGTGGAGACTCAAAATATCAAATTCACTTGCGACAACGGACACGGAATACGTTTGATTAACAACAGCGAGAAAATGGAAAAGTGCATTAGGCACTGTCTTCCCATGTGGAATGTGAAAAATGAATACCAATAACGCGGCACTATCAGGGCTTTGCTTTTGCTGCGTTGGCGGATCCGAGTTTTGCCAAAATACACCACCATCATCCAAAAGCCTCAAGTAAAGTTTTCGTCAGAGAAAAAATATATTTAATTCAACTCTTTGTCATTTGCGAATTAAAACAAAATCAAATATACGTACGTATATATGTATGTATATTTTGCAAATGAATATACTACATTTTAATATGCAAGTATACATATGCACATAAATTCACTAAAAATACATTTGTATATGTTTGTATGCACCAATATTTATTAAAATATATTTGTGTGCATTTAAGGCTGTTTGCCTTACTCTGACAAGTGGCATCAACAATATGCTGCTTCGTTTGTACCCGATTTACTCTTGGTGGTGCACTTTTTTATACTTCGCAACTTCTTTGTTCAAGAAAAAGCTTTCGAAAATTATAAGACGGTCGCTTCAGAGAATGCAAATTCTCTGATATTACTTTACAAAGCTATGTTCTCTCTTGTGGAATACATGTTTGCACGCGAAACAAATGCAAAAGCTCTTGTGTACGAAACTTTAAATACAACACATTTGTACTGATATCCAAAAGCTCGGTTGTTGCAAAACGAAATACAAAATTTAAGGACTTTTGCTAAGTACATAAAAAGTATGTAATTACTATTTTTTGTATGTTCATATACATATGTATGTATGAATGCATAAGTACGTGGTCATTCAGATTGTTCCAATCGCTGAAGCCGGGTGTATAACCTTACCGAATATTTCGGTCTCGTTAAGATGATAGGAAGTACTGTGTAAGATGATAGGAATTTTTGGCGAAGCAGAAATTTGTATAAATTAAAGGAATCTCCAAAATATATTTAAATTAATTAACTATAATTTGAAAGAATTTAAAACAAACGTCTAATTGACAGAAAACTGGAAAATTATGGGAAAATCCAGTAGCGGTGTTAGGGTACGGCGCGGTTGGACGACCACCCAGGGCGCCGGTCAAAAGGGGCGCCGCATGCGTCCCCAGCTCATGCTCATAGTTCGAGGTCTGCTTAGTCGTAAATTCCCTAAATTAAGCGGATTTTTTATGTTAGCAACACTTGAATGGAACGCACTATTCAATCTGTTCAATCGGAGTTCATTTTACGGGGAACCCTAATCGTAGAAAAACACATTGTCTATCTCCTTTTAACTTTTTGGTTAAAAAGAGCTAGCGTTATTTTAGCGAAGCGTAACAAACTCAGCTCATTCGCATCAATAAAATCCGGTCATATACAAAACAATTATTTTAAAACAAACAGACGCGAAGTAGTAACCAGACGGTCCATGTTCCATTGCGATGCTATGTTCGTCACTATCCGTTTATACTATCGAGTATGAAAGAAGGTATGACAGAAATGTTGAAAAAATGCTGCAATTTCTTGGAAGACTACTGAAATACAGGCTTTAAAAGCGCTATTTTAACAGGGAAGGAGTTGGCCGAAGAACTAGAAATTGAACCTGTATTTCGAGCTACAAAAAGAATTCTACGTGTTAAGCGTCAAGCTAGTGAAATTGCATGCGATGACCCTATAAATTCTTCAGAAAAAAAAATTGAGGTTGATTTTTTCAACTATCTTTTGGACACTACATTAATTTCAGTCGGTTCGAGCAGTTAAATGAGTACTCGGAATCTTAGTCTTTTCTGTACAATATTAAACAGATTCCAGAAAAACCCGACCTTGTCAAGCTCTGTAATGATCTCCAATTAAAATTAACTGTAGACTCTAAATCAGACATAGATGGTTTTATGTTGTGCGAGGAACTTGTAATTCTGATATCCTTTTTGTCTGATAAAAACGTGGTTACTCCCATTTTTATTTTAAATTTCATCAAAGATTGCAACTTACAAGAACTGTATCCAAATGTATGGATAGCATTGCGAATATTATTAGCTATACCTGTAACGGTCGCTAGTGGGGAGCGGAGCTTTTCAAAGCTGAAGCTGATAAAAACATATTTTCGTTCAACAATTTCTCAATCTAGATTGACAAACTTAGCAACTTTGTCAATTGAAAACGAAATTGCTCAAAACATTGACTTTGACAACCTTATAAAAGAGTTCGCTGATAGAATGGCCAGAAAAGTAAAATTTTATTAGTGTTCTTGTAATAAATAGTTATTTTTTATAATAAAGAATTATTTATTTTAATAAACGGTTATTTCATTAAATGTTTTCCCTTTTTTCGAATGGATTTGAATTGTAGTTAGGGGCGCTGTAGAAATCTCGCCCAGGGCGCTGGTAGTGTTAAAACCGGCACTGGGAAAATCGAAGAAAATACATGCATACAATAGACATGCTTCACTTGCAGAGAATATAATAAATATGAACATAGTAATAGGTAATAGGACCATGCATAAATTATATTCGTTCTAAGTAGAAAAAACTAAAAATCACATATAAACATGTTAAACTCTGAAGTTCCGAAAAGAACTGGACAATCCCTGTATGCATGTATGTAGATAAAAGTTAAAAGCTTCTTTATACATACTAGACTCCAACGAATAATTCCACCAAGAATTTAATTTATTTTAGCGTCAATGGATTGACGAGAAATGAGGAAATATAAAAACAATTTTGGTACAAAACAAACAAGCGTTGAATTAATATTTATTATATATATTTACATATACATACATATATATATTTATCGTAATTGATACATAGATACTAGTATACAACAGCATGCTATCATGTCTATATAACTAATATACTATGTGTTACAAATCAAACAAATTAACAAACAATTTAGAAATCTGAAAATAATTCAAAATAAATTGCCTACCCTAAGATTCGTGTTTCTAATATAAATCATATGCTAGCTGATTTTTTTAGGTTTGACTTGTCGTTTAAGAAGCCAAGCGGTATAATCGTTTTTAATTCTTTTTGCTTTGGATTTGCGCAGGCGTGCACTAATGTAATCATCCCGCTCACGCAACCAAATACGTGCGTACTCCCAGCCCATGAGCCAGTTCATCGGAATAGGACAAGGCTGTTAAATCGAAGTATTATTGAATAATAAAAAATAATAGTGAATATATATAATAAATAATATATACATGAAGTGTTATTGGATAATAAAAAGTAAATAATATATACATATGTACATATAAATATGTATATTCATTTGTACCATGGTGAAATTAGAAGAAGTCCAGTGATATAATTTCGAACAGAATTCTGATTAATCATTTTGATATAAATTAATTATTCGATAAATTCCAATTAAAAGAGAATGCATAAAATATAGTTCTGTATAATTAATAGTTGTTATAATAAGCAATTAAGTATGTGGTATTTTTTGAAGCCTGAAGAAAAAAAATTTACCTGATCCAATAATCACATATCAAGGAATGGGTTTATTCAGTTCCTGAAGCTTCTAGAGATAATTTTCATATATCTTTTACTTTTTATACTATATTATGTATGTATGTATAATTTACATATTAATATAATCACTCAGCAAACCAACATTTCAATTATTATTTCTGTTGGAACATAAATCAACAGTCGTAAATAAATTAGATTCCCTATCTAAGGATGTTAATAAACATTAATAAAACTATAGAGAGGATACAGCAGGAAAGTTTTGGTTTATACACATAGTGTCAAATTTTTACAACAATTTCACTATTTAAAAAGCTCAATTAAATTACAAAATTTAAATTTCATCTCGGCTGCGTCGTATAAATCAAATTTTTGAACCTACATCATTCTCGTAAGATGGTACAAATTTCTTCTGTTTTATGTAAACATGTGACTGCAAATTATCGCGTGGACGCACTATAAACGCCTTCGACCATTCTGCTTTCATTTTTCCGATGATGTATGGTAAATGTATATTATTTTATTTGAAACATTTATCTAACAAGACAAAACAATATTTTACACTTTTTAAATTTTGAAAGTAATATAATTTTGAAAAACAATAACCTAAATGACTTTAAAATCTAAACTACATTTTTCAAAATATTTTCATAATAATCAAAAGTGAATATTAATTAAGAGATTTATATATATAGTATGTACATAATAATATATACGAATGCGTACAACTAATTATCAACGACATGTCCCTGTAAATAATTTTCACAAATTTATAAAATGCTCAGGAAATAAAAGCTATGTTTTTATTAGTTATTAGTTTCTTTTACATAAAAGTTTGTCTCTCGAAAGTTATGTTTTTATTAGTTTCTTTCACATAAAAATTTCTCTCTCGAAAGCTGTCAAATACTCAACAGCGGGATATGGTAGATATTGGTAAGCAAGCAAGGTAAATAGTATTGTATACATATTGTATCGCTTAATCCGACCGATGAAAATTAACACGCCGATGTCCTACGTAAAGTAACAGATCACCTCTTTCGCTTACTATAGGGACGAAGAATTCTTCGATGTCAAAGTTAACGAGGAAGTCTTCGAAAAAAGAAAAATTTGCATATTAATTTTTCTTTATTTATGAAAGTGCATGATGAAAATAAGTATTTATGTATAAAAAGGAATAGTTCTCTTTTAAGAAAGAAACGGCCTTTGGTGAGTCTGATGCTTTTTTGAATTTGGCGAGCATTCTACTTTTACACATTCTACAAAAAAAATTTAAGCTGTATGTAATTATAAATTTCTATCAATGATAAAAACACGAAAAACTTACCAAATAGTAACGTTATTGCTTCATTTTTAATTAGTCTTCTCATATGCCTTTTCGAGAATATTCTTTTATTTCCTTATTCAAAATTTAAACACAAAATCAATCAAAAATT